AGGGTGTCAAGTGAACGTATTTAGCTTGAGTGTGACAATAACAGCCAAGTCCGGGAGGCCAGGAATTGGAGACGTGGGGTGGGGGGAGGAGAGCGGTGTTGGGGAGCGGAGAATAAACAGGACAGTTTGTAAGGACAATATGCGGAGCGTGGCCGGCAGATACCCTTCTGAACGCTTTCTTTAGGCCGAGTTGGGGTGGTTGAGGGGAGGAGGGGCTGAGAGAATTGCAGAAGAAAAAAAAAAAAAAAAGTAACCCTGATGGTTTAAGCTCTTTATTTAACAAGGAAAAAAATGGCATCAGGACTTTTTTTTTTTTCCTTCTCTCCTCCCTTTTGTACCCAAGTGCATTTTAGCCACAAAGGTTCCAACAAGAGTGGAAGGAAACTTAGACGGGGCTTTGTTTGACTCCGTGTAGCGACAACAAGAGAAACAAAACTACCTATTTGTAACGGACGTGGTGCGGTGGCTCTGGGCTTTTTGAGCGCCTGCCGATTGAAATCTTTACGTCTCGACAATGGGAGATCGGCTAAAATTACCCTCTCGGGTCCTGGGCGGGCAAGATTCTTGAGCCCCTACCCCCGCCCCCAGCCCATCCTCCGGCAGCCTGGGTTGCTGGGGCCCGGCTCCCCGGGTTCCGCAGGCCTTGTCCTTGCGCACTTTGTCTGCACCTGTACCTCTGAACCCCGCGCCTCCCAGGCCCCAGTGCCTCCTCTCTCTCTGCCCTAGACCAACTCGGCCGGGCCTTGGCGGCTACCACCGTGCCAGTCAGCAGGGGCAACGCCGGCTGCGCAGCTCCCTTCCTGGGAACGCTGCGTGGGAGGGAGTTTGTGAGCACTGCCCAAATGCCACCTCCGTGCCTCGCGGTGGGACGCCAGGAAGTTGCGTGACCCTCCCCCATCGCCTGCGCTCGGGAGCCTCTTTCTGTTGATTCTTCGTCCCCAGGCTCTCATCTGAAACCGCCACCACTGAAATCCTCTTGTGTCGGGGGTGGGGGTTAGGAAGAGTGGGAGGAGAGTCCAAGCTTTGCCTTTGCACCCTCTGGATGGGGCTGGCTGGTGGAGGAGGGAGTTAGGGTTGAGGACACACACGTGCTGCGGTTCCTTAAGCCACACCTGAGTCAGGCTAGGAGAAGGCTGTGAACCAGGCCGGGCCCTAGCTCGGCTCTGCAGTGGGCCACACGGGCAGAGGACTCGAGTTTGGGAACCGAGCAGATGACGTGGAAGCCAGGAGGGCGCTGAGGCCCGGAGGCTTGGGTCTAACTTCTTGTCTGTACTGTGAGAAGAGGGCATGAGTGGGTGTTGGCACCAAGGTAGGAAGAGGGGCTGGAACCCAGAGCAGTGCCGCGGATGAGCGGAGGAACAATGGCACACCACCTCCGGCCCTGCCAGCTTCCTGAAATACTAGTTGGACGGTCGCCCTGAACCACCCATGGGCCCTGCCCCACCCTGGCCCCAGCTCCCCGCGCCCCATCCTCCCTTATGTACCCAAGAGGGAGCCAATATTCCGTAGCAAAGGGGTTAGGAGCTGTCGCCTTGGTGCTGTTTACCCACTTCCTTCGAACAGGCGTGCGCCGTGACCTGTTGCTGAGGAAGGGGGGGATACAAAGGTTCCCCCGCGGCCGGCTGCAGCCTGCGGGCCCGCCTCCCCCGCGCGGCTCCGGGCACAGCGCTCTGCTGGGCTCGGCTCGGCGGCGCGGCAGGCTCCGCCCCCTTTCATGCAAAACCCTCTGGCGAGGCTGGGCTCCGGCGCAGGAGCCGGCGCTCGCTGATTGGCCGCCGGAAACCCATTTATTCCCTGACAGCCCCCATCACATGGATGGTTGTCTATTAACTTGTTCAAAAAAGTATCAGGAGTTGTCAAGGCAGAGAAGAGAGTGTTTGCAAAAAGGGAAAAGTACTTTGCTGCCTCTTTAAGACTAGGGCTGGGAGAAAGAAGAGGAGAGAGAAAGAAAGGAGAGAAGTTTGGAGCCCGAGGCTTAAGCCTTTCCAAAAACTAATCACAACAATCGCGGCGGCCCGAGGAGGAGAGCGCCTGTTTTTTCATCCCAATTGCACTTCGCCCGTCTCGAGCTCCGCTTCCCCCCAACTATTCTCCGCCCGATCTCCGCGCAGGGCCGTGCACGCCGACG